TTTCGCACTAAATTTAGTGCTTTTCTTAATTTAACACGCGAAAATTTTTGATTTTGGTGCTTGGTGCGTTTTTTGGTGCTTTTTTTTAGTTTGAAGACACCAAAACTGTAAATCTGAAAAATGTAAGTTAAATTTAGAGCAATTGGAAGTTTCGTAAAGAACTTTACAAAAATGGAAATAACATCATGGCACAATGACAATCATAAGCGAAAGAGCATCTGTTTGTCAAAAAAAAAATATGTTGCAGCACTTTCAATCATACCAGAATTACATACGGTAATTTGCCATTGCCTGCAAAAACGTCCATGTTGCTGGGACCAGGAATCGATTTTTAGACCCTTAATTTGGGGCTGAATTTGTTTTATTTTTTACGAATATTAAACAAAGCAATAGCATCTCCTAACAGTAAAATGAATAATCGAGTAGGCAGCTTTTTTAAACAAAAAGGTTTTTTCCACTATGCGCTTCGNTCATAAGCGAAAGAGCATCTGTTTGTCAAAAAAAAAATATGTTGCAGCACTTTCAATCATACCAGAATTACATACGGTAATTTGCCATTGCCTGCAAAAACGTCCATGTTGCTGGGACCAGGAATCGATTTTTAGACCCTTAATTTGGGGCTGAATTTGTTATATTTTTTACGAATATTAAACAAAGCAATAGCATCTCCTAACAGTAAAATGAATAATCGAGTAGGCAGCTTTTTTTACACAAAACGATTTTTTCCACTATGCGCTTCACTTTAAAAAGGGGAAACTTCCACACTTCCACATAATTCCTGAAACTTCATTTTTTGTTGTTACTTTCGTTTGATAGGAATTGTAGAAAAAATGAAGCAAAACGAAGAAAAATGTATTTTTATTTATGGGTGNGAAATAAGTTATTTTCTTTCAATGAATTGCCTGACGAAAAGGGTTACCTTGATAGGGTAAATAATGTAATAATATTACATTCATTACGAATTTATATTTAATAGAATTAAACTATTTCTAAAAGTATCAAAAACTTTTGTGCATCATACACTAAAATATAAAAAGATAAGCTAATTAAGCTACTGGGTTCATACCCCATTTATAAAGGTTTACAGTCCTTTTCTTTTTAATTTTTAATAATACTGCTAAAATTATATTTTTTTTTTATTTTAATAGTAGGAACAATAATTACCATCTCGTCTAATTCTTGTAAAGTGCTTGAATAGGTTTAGAAATTAATTTATTATCTTTTACCCCCCTAATAAGATATAATAATTTAATATCAAGNCTTGGTTAGGTGCTTGAATAGGTTTAGAAATTAATTTATTATCTTTTATCCCCCTAATAAGAGATAATAATTTGATATCAACAGAAGCCTCTCTTAAGTATTTTTTAACCCAAGCAATTGCCTCTGCTGTATTATTGTTTGCTATTATTCTAATATATATAAATAATTTCCCAACAATTCAAAATAATTTAATATTTAATAATTTAATTATTCATTCATCTTTACTCTTAAAAAGTGGAGCAGCACCATTCCGTTTTTGATTCCCAAATGTAATAGAAGGCTTATCATGAATAAATGCACAAATTTTAATAACATGGNTTAAAAAGCGGAGCAGCACCATTCCATTTTTGATTTCCAAATGTAATAGAAGGTTTATCATGAATAAATGTTCTAATTTTAATAACATGACAAAAAATTGCTCCTCTTGTACTAATTTCTTATATTAATTGAAGAAATTTTATTTATTTAGTAATTATTCTTTCAACAGTAATAGGTTCATTAGGAGGATTAAATCAAACTTCTCTTCGTAAATTAATAGCTTTCTCTTCAATTAGTCATTTAGGTTGAATATTAACTGCTATACAAGCTAGTGAATCAACTTGATTAATTTATTTTTCTATATATTCATTTTTATCTTTTAGATTAATTTTTATATTCAATAATTTTAAAATATATCATATTAATCAAGTTTTTAATTAATTTTTTAATTCAAAAGCTTTAAAAATGTGTTTATTCTTTAATTTATTATCTTTAGGTGGACTTCCGNATATTCATTTCTATCTTTTAGATTAATTTTTATGTTTAATAATTTTAAAATATATTATATTAATCAAGTTTTTAATTCATTTTTCAATTCAAAAATTTTAAAATTTTGTTTATTTTTTAATTTATTGTCTTTAGGTGGTCTTCCACCATTTATTGGATTTTTACCAAAATGATTAGTTATTCAATTATTAATTGTTAATAATCAATATATTTTAATAACAATTATAACTATAATAACTTTAATTACATTATTTTTTTACTTGCGGTTATGTTTTGCCGCATTTATATTAAATTATTCTGAAAATAATTGAATTAATATTATACAAATAAATAATTTTTCATTTAAATGCATGCTATTTTTTTCTTTTATTTCAACGTTCAGATTAATTTTAATTTCTTTAATTTATTTTATTTTTTAATTACAAATAAATTTAGCTATAAATATTTATAAAAAGGTTTTAAGTTAAAAAAACTAATAACCTTCAAAGTTATAAATATAAGTTAAATCTCTTAAGCCTTTGTAATTATTTTACTCCTTTAGAATTGCAGTCTAATGNATCTTTTAAGCCTTAGTAATTATTTTACTCCTTTAGAATTGCAGTCTAATATCATTATTGACTATAAAGCCTAATTGATTAA